AAAATAAAAAATCATAAAAAGGGGAAGGAAGGGAACGCCAGCGGGAAACGCAATTCCCGAAAGTGACCAGAGATAGCCGGTGAACGGGAAGCGGAAGTGACGTGACACCGGAACTTCTTTTCCCACTCGCTCGGTACACACATACTGCCAACCTCTTTCCCTCCCCTCTGCCCCCCTTTTGGAGCTGAGGCCTACAGCTCCCTCTTCTTGCTTCCACAGACAATCACTCGCCCAGAGTGTGTTGAAAGTCTGCCAAAAGCGTAGTGCACGTTTAGTAGAGTGGAGTGCGTCGCTGGTATTCTATTCGATGTCGCCGTGCCGGGCGTTTTCTCATTTTGTTTTTTTTCTTCTCTCTTGAGACGCGTCAATGCTTCGTGAATCAGATAAGGGTCCCCAGAGATCCGGGGTTGCGTTCCATTGCGATACGACCGTTAAACACGTCATGTGTAAGGTGTATGTAACTCCGCCCCCTCCTCAACTCCGTGCAGTGCTGCGAGGCCCGACTCTTTTGAAAGTGTGGCGGTTTTTCGGGCGAGTTAATTCGTGTGCATCTTGCAAAAAGAAAAAGAAGAGAAAATATAAAAGAAAAGGGGTGAGCACTGAGAATAATTCAATTTACGATGAAATCGACTTCTAGCTGATTCTTTTATGACAGGAAGCAATGTACATGCATAAATAAGCAGATAGTTATCCTAGCTGCGAGTTATTGATCTGTGTGCGAGCATTATGAGTAATTCAATTATTCAACTAACATATCCTTCTTTACTTGTCATTAACTCTCTCTGTCTAATCTACTGCCTATTACTCAGCCAACGTTGGCGAGCAAAAATTTGCATTCACCAGCATTAGGTGGACACCAGGTCACGTGAGCAGTCAATAGAAGCACCACCCTGTGTCTTATATTTCTTCTTAATCTTGACCACTTGAGGTTCTTTACCGTGCACTGAAATACGTATATGGGTGCCCGTGCGTGTACATTTTGCCAACTTCAGAATGCGGCATGCAATGGCCAGAAATGAAACCTGCTTCCACAGAAAACTTAGCCGCTTAGCAGCGCCGCAACGCGTCGACCGAATACCATAGATACCAACAGGAGACTCCTTTCGTTCAGTTTCGATTCGCTGACGCAATTCCTAGCATTCATTGAGCTGCACAGAAATTTCGTGGTGCTCTCCGGTGCTTTTTTTCTTCTTCTTCTACTTGCGTTCACATTTGTTGGTTCCTGTGCACACGGCCTCCACTGGTCAAAGCGGTGCCTGCCACCAAACGGCTCACACTCTCAACGCCTTCGCCATGCTCAGGGAGAAAAAAAAAACATTCCGCATAAGAAAACCATGTGCCTCCGCTATCGGGCTCCCTTGTTTCCGCGTCAAAATTAGTCACGTCAGTCGGCTGGCAGTGCGTGAACACGTAGCATGGTTTCACGAATCAAATAAGAGTCGCCACTCGGCCCACCATTGAATGTCTCTCTGTGCGTGCGTATAATAAAAGTGGTACGTGACTAATGGGACAGCCATAGAGACGCGAGAGATAGGGGGTTACTCTGTAACGAGCTGGCAACGCCATTGGAGTTCGCGCGCTACCGGATCTGGGTCAATGCGAAGAATATATCAGCCCGGGCGTTCTGCGTATCAGACGAAACTTTGCGCACGCAAATATTCATGCCGTTGTTATCTTTACGAAGGTGCAGTCGAGCTCAGTTAGAAAGTCTTCGCTCGAGCATACCTACCAGTCACTAAAACAGCGCGACCTGCCAGAATACTTTTTTTTTCGTGTAGAGGGTAGTATCACGCAAGCTCACTTAAGCCGAGGGTAGTATCACTTAAGCCGAGATCACTCCAGTTTCAAGAAGCTGTTTATAAGAATCAGTACCAACTACCTGCTCAATCAACACATTTTCCCCAGTAGTTTAGTAATTACCCACAGACATAAGAATCTAGGAAGAATGCGCTCGGTAGTGGAGGGCTCAAAGTAAAAAGAAGGGCGTAGAGTTTATCATAGAGGCGATTGTTGTAGCTAACGAGGGAGAGAAGAATACGGTATCTTGATATTCAGTGTTCCTAAATATGCCGCAAACTATCTGAGGAGACGAAGAATCTCATTAGGAGACGACAAACCAGAAAAGCCTTCATATCGCGCGCCACTCTCCAGTTACGTACGCCTGCACACATGACTAACCACCTATACCATGCTGTGTAGCGTTCTGATGCTAAGCTTGCGCCGATGTGCTGAATATATCGATGTGTAAGAAGTAAAAAAAAAAACATGGCTTTTGTCTTCCGTTCCTCTTTGGCAAATGCATAAGGAAACGCGCGACTTTTTTTTTAGCATGGAAACATGCAAGGCGAGCATCTGCAAACGGGCTTTGAGTCATAGCGAGACCCACCGCGGGACGGTGTCGCTAAAGCGAGAAAGTCGCTCAGGTAGAAAGAAGAGGCCGGGGAATGTTCCCTCACCCCGATGCCTTCGCATCAGCGGCGCAGATATTGGATGAGGAATACGATCTCCCCAATCCTCCCTTGACAAAGAACCCCGACGGCCTTCCCCGAGCTAACCAAGCGTCTGAGGGACTTCGTAGCATTGTACTTTGTCTCGGCGAAAGCGTGCAACGCGGCAGAACTTCCAAAGCCATTCTTTTGGCGTGGTAGAACGGTGCAGGGTCGCCAAGGCTACAGCGACTATGCTGGGCCAAAACGAGAACCCAACACGCGGTGTGTTTCCATGGTGCGTGGAGGTCACTTCTCCGCGGGGGAAGAAGATTATCTCTTTCCGGAGGTCGTAGAAGGTGCCGCAGCTATCGTGTCGTAGTGTGGCTCCTTGGCTAAGATGTGCTGAGGAACACGAGATACAGCGTTTCAACTCACGGCCGTGCTTAAACCGAGTTGTAACTTTTAATGCAAGAACGAACGGATGCTCAGACGAAGAGAAACGCTAAAGAAATGCAGGGGATTCAAACCAGCCCGTAGAACCGTGGTGTCACACCTAACACATCTACTATTTCAGACCCTCCATCGCTTTTAAATGTTAAGAGGAATCAATGCATCTATCAATCAATTAATCAATCGAGTGATCAATCAATCGAGCTACGTTGTACATAACAATATGATTTTCACACGTCAAACTTAATCAATACATCACCAAATAATCAACCAGTCAATCAACACAGCTGAGTTGTCAAAAAGGGCTTGAATGGATACCATGACGCGTTGATTTAAAGTTTACCAAAATAAGACGCGGTATTCTGTTTAGATAGAAAGCAATTTTTAACGAAGCTCCCGGAGGTGTTAGCCTGGTTCATCGCCTGGCTCGCTACTCCACGTGCCGGGTGACGAGTATGACACGTGTAACATATGACTATGACACACGTAATCTAATGCACCGGCAGACCCCTGTGACGTAAGAGCAGCCAATGTACCTGCACTGAACTGTACTCTTATTAAAAAAAAAAAAGTTGTACTCATAGTCGCTCATAATGTCTCGTTCAGATGCATGGACGTTCTTGTTCGCAGCCATGTGAAGCGCTCCTAGCGCCACCGCGCGACGCTTCTCCGATTTTAGTGAAGCCCGTCCGGTCACCTCGACGCGCTGCACGATTCTGTGAAAGCCGGTGAGCGCGAGCCTCGTCCATGTCCTCACGAGAGGAGAGCGGGCCACATTAGGCTCATCATGCGTTGAGTCGGATCGGAGCCACTAAGCTCTTTACGCGTTCTGGCGACCAGCCAGCTAGCTAACCCGCCAGACCGGACTCTCCTAAACGGATGAAGGTGCACGTGCCAGTGGATTTCTGCTTCTCTCTCTCCCAGCAACTCTCGGCGACGGTGTCTGTCACATCTCGTACGGGAGACGGCGGCGTGTTGCCGCCAGATTCGGGAGTCACCTAATCCCCTAAACCACTGATGCACTTTCCTCGCTCGAAGACCACGGCATACCCACTGTGTGGAACAGCCGTCAGCTTTACAGATAAGTGTGCGCACACGCGTACTGGTAGAATAGTCAATTTAATATTTGCGTAATTGAAACAGAGGTGGATAGGTACCAGCGGAAGGCACGGAAGGAAGGAGAGGTGGCACTCTCGCCGAACTTCAAACTGCCCCTCCACTAGAGCGATTATTTAAGGGACGACAAAAAGCATATCTACTCCCTCCCCCCGCTAATTAAAAAAGTCATTCTGCCACCCCTGCATTGAAGATAACCGCGATGTTCCTCTAATATTGATAATAGTAAATAGTTTATTGTTCACGCAGCTCACAATTAGATTTCTTGGCTTGCTAGTTCATGATTACACCGGTTATTTTGTTAACTGATTGGTTGAAAATGCGTTAACAGAAAACCTATTAGTCTTCGGATGCTAACAGTCTTCATGTTTTTTTTTATGCCCCTAGTAATATAGCGCCCTTTGACATCATTTTAAATGTTCCGCAACAAGCTAAAACACATTTTCAAGGTTCGTAGGTGTCAAAAACCTTATGATCATCCCAAAGCAAAGAATATTTAACGCGAGTGATTCCAAATCGGGGAACCATTTTGACCGAGCAACGCGAGCAACTGACAGATACCGATGCCGAACAGTACGCTTTTACTTCAGTGTCTAGAGTATCTAAGCACTATACTTTTACGGGATCCACGCTTCGAAAAAGTGTGGACGAAGTCTCCGAAACAAAGACTTTAAGTGCGCAGCGAGAGGCACGCATCAAACGCCACGTTTTGAACGCCACAAACACTGAGGTTTACGGTTCCAGACTAACGCACTGAAATTTATCACGAAGCCAAAAAAAAAAACTCCACAGCAAAAAAGAGAGATAAGCACATAGTTTAACTCATTATCACAATGAAATTATATGAAAAAAATTCGCGCAGGTTTCGCCCGCGTTTTAAGCAATCTGCACGAGCCGGAAATGCGACATGCCTCTGACGTTATTTCAAACATCGTCCATCCAATCGCACGCAGCCACATGAACAGCATGATCGCAGCCAACGCGTAAAGGCGTTGCACGCAGCTCGCGACGCACTCTTTCCATCGCTGGAACACCGAGGTGTTGCACACGCGCCAGATTTTCCCGCCGCCTGCGTCTCTCGATAGGCACCGCAACGAAGGCCCGAGCTTCTGAAACACCGCCGCCGCCACCACCCCAGCTTCAAGCATGTCCAAACCAAAGGTTTACTTTGACATGACAGCCGACGGCGCCAAGCTCGGGCGCATTGTGATGGAGCTGCGCGCGGACGTGGTTCCGAAGACAGCCGAGAACTTCAGGGCTCTGTGCACTGGAGAGAAGGGCTTTGGCTATAAGGGCTCTGTCTTCCATAGGGTCATACCGGATTTCATGTGCCAGGGGGGCGACTTCACCCGCGGCGATGGCACTGGAGGCAAGTCCATCTATGGTACCAAGTTCGACGACGAGAACTTCCAACTGAAGCACACCGGACCCGGGATACTGTCCATGGCGAACTCCGGCAAGAACACCAACGGCTCGCAGTTCTTCCTGACCACGGCCAAGACCGGCTGGTTAGACGGCAAGCACGTCGTCTTCGGCAGCGTCGTCGAGGGCATGGACGTCGTGAAGACGATCGAGTCCTACGGTTCCAAGAGCGGCAAGACCTCGAAGAAGGTTGTCATCGCCGACAGCGGAGAGCTGAAGTGAGTCCGATTACTGCAGCACAAATGACCATTCCCCCTTTTTTTTCTTTCTTGTGCCTTGTTGAGTTCTAAGCCACATCGTTTCTCGCTAAGGGGCGACTGGGAAGAGTCATCTTCAGAAGACTCTTCTCCCACGTCCAGCGTCGAAGATTGAGGAACTCTGGACACTTTCATTCATGTGGCACAAGGACATTTGTTGCCAACGTCTTTTTTTTTTTTTGCTGGAGCCAGAACAGTTCGCCACGCCCCTAGCTTTCTGTTCAATTGCTTTTGTACCATTGTTGTTTTTGTTGCTTATACTTTTTTCCTGTTCTTTCGTTTCCAAGGAAGAATAAACTAGCATGTTTCATCCTAATGTGTCGAGGCTCTTTACTCGAAACGTAAATATGTGCGAAACGTAAAAGCTGATACAAAGGTGTGTGATGCAAAATCCGAAGTGCGTCTGTATGTATACTTTTTCGTTCACGGTCATGTCTGTCAGCGCCGTCGATGGAAATATATTTGCTAACTTATTCATTTTTTCGCTGCTGTACTGGCGAACAACCTTCGTTGGCAGTATAGTGGTCTACTACTATACCGCCAATGCATGTAGTCCCACGGATGCACCTGTTTTAGTCGCCCTGAATAAGAATGCACCATTTTTACATGCGTCTCTGGAGCACGACGCAGCGCGCACCAGTGAAATATTTGTTCATATACCACCTTCATTTCGCGGTTTCGAACGCAAGAGATCGTTGCGCCTAATGTGTATCTAAAACGCTAAACGGCGTCTGGGTCTGTATGCAACGCTGGTGCCCTAAAAGCCGTGCCAAAGCCTAACTACTGCGCGTAGAAATGGCTGCCTGTACAGATGGTCTGTCTCCACAACTACAGGTAGTATTTTTCTAGACACTGTGCGGCCCTTCGCAGCTCCCTCCTGACCGACCAACTTTGGGCCGTCCAGCAGGCCCGCGGAGCGGCCGATAGGCTTGGCCTAACGGTCCCGACGTGGGAGACGCCCGCTGCGCGCTGACGCGCGCCTTGCAGGACCTCAATAAAGTTTCGCAACCAACTGTACCACAACTTTCATTTCATAGCTTTCGTGATTTTGTGTCGACAACGCTGGCAGACCACTTGCGCATGAACGAGAATTGAGCTCCATTGAACCGAACACGCCCTCACTGGTGCCGCATTTGCACGGCTTTCTTAGCCCGTGCGTTTATCTCGTTGGAACGAGTGGCGTGATAAGAAACGCAGGAATGGACGCGGCCCGACTCGAGCGTGCTAAACCAAAAATACAAAGCGCCCGCCTTTGAATAATTTCATAGGTGTTGCTTTGATGAAACGGACGTAAATTGGCGCAAAGGTCGGTAGAGCTAGAGGATGTATCTGAATATTAGATGATTAATTGTAGGAGTGTTTTCAAAGAAGAAAAAGGTACAGCACTGCATTTTGAAGTAGAATACAATGAGAGGCTCGTGATTCTAAGTACGCTGCAGCAACGCCTCCTAGAAAAACTTTAGGAGGCGTTGGCTGCAGGAAACCACGACAGACGCCGACGCAACGCTTTAAAAAACGCTCGGAGACTCTATCCTAATTTTTTTGCAAAAAAAAAAAAAAAGGTTGTGGGGCTTCATAATAGCGTTCCACATTGTAGAACCTATAGGTTTCATCGGCGCGTTTGCGAAGTTTTCTTAATTTTGGCGTTCTTCAAAAATGCTGGCCGATCTTTTTTACACTTCGCGCACGAAATCTTTTTTTCGAACTATTTATGCGACAATTACGTGGTCTTAGTGAAATAGGTGCAGTAATGTGTGTGCCTTTTGTAGTGATTGACCAGCTTTGAATCATGACGTCATTATGATAATATGTTCTGACGCCCAATTGCAAAGCATGCTTGTGCCACGCATTACTACAGCAATATTTCATGCTCAGATATCCCTGCTCTGATATACTCCTTTTTCAATTTTCAGCTTTTCTTCCTATATATATATATATATATATATATATATATATATATATATATATATATATATATATATATATATATATATATATATATATATATATATATATATATATATATATATATATTTCAGTCCAAAATTACTCAGTGTTCGTAAAACCACAAGCCTTTTACTTAAAGATCCTGCCACCCGGTTCTTGGCCGATACCCCTTTGTGGGTGTGCGCCAGAATAACAAGGATCATCATCATCATGTTGTATTGCAAAGCATGTATACAAGACGCGTTTGTTTGTAAAGCATGAAAGTTACTTTCCCTGAATTTCCAAGCATAGGAAGTTACTTTCTCTTTCTTCAGAAGCAGACGCTTGACAGTGGGGTAGAAAGTTCGCTGCCGCTCAAACGACCCGGCTTCGGTCCCCAATCGGACCCAGCATTTGTATTATTTATAATTTATTTGCATCTTCTAACATTTTTCGATCACACACAAGATGAGAATTTTCCGTTCACAACCGAGCACCGACACCAACGCCGGAATTTCTGCGAAACGAGCTATTTAACGCTATCGCGTTAATAAGTCACCCTTCCAGCACTCCGTACAGATGGTTAACCAGCGAAACTTCAGGTCCCGGTGTTCATCATTGGGTTAATTCTAACGGTTAATTAAAGACTTACCTCAATTATTGGTAATTTCTGTTCAGAAATCGTAATTGTTGTTTCCAGCCCATGCCTTCCTGTTCTTACGTTTTGGGAAACAAGCCGCAAAGCTTCGGTATACCCAATTTTTATGGCACATAAGCGCCACAAGTTTTCGCTCACGAAGGACGGGCGAATAATGGTTTCGTCCAGCAATATGTAGCTTCGCTATTGTACATATTTATGCTGCCTTCTACCATCTGCTTCATGGCCGATTGATGCTTGCTTGTGCCTATATGTTTGGCTCGTACCCACTAGGGGAACTGGTCATTAAGCCGGCGGTTAATATATTGGGATAAAAGAATGCCAAAATTTGATTAAGGAAAATTAATAAAACAGATATCTAGTAGGCAATTTGAAATTTAACAATCCTAAAGTCCTGTACGATTAAAGTAGATACAGAACTGTAATAGAAATTCATGCTGCTAAACGGATGAAGGTGCACGTGCCAGTGGATCTTTCTCCCAGCATCTCCCAGCATATTTTCCAACGGGTTTGCATAATACTCAACAATTAGATACTGCCTTAGCTAATTGCAAGAATGATTTCCTTCTGACTGGTGATTTCAACTCACATCATGTTTCATGGGGATTTCGAACAGACCATTCTGGTACTCTTCTGTGGGATTGGATGATTAATAAAAATCTTACCTGCCTAAATGATAGACAGCCTACTTTTATTCGCGGACGGACACGATCGGTATTAGATCTCACGTTTTGCAGCCCAAGTGTTTCAATAAAGTCTTGGAAAACAATTGATTTCTCTTCAAACAGTGACCATCTTCCTGTATACTTTGAAATCTCATGTGCTGTGAAATCTATTGAAAGGACAAAGAAAACATTGATCAATTACAAAAAATTTAAAGACTGCTTGCGTTCCAACATCAGGGCAGTGTCCAGTGGTCAAAATGAAGACCTCGGCAGAAATCTCTGTTCTGCTTTAAAATCTCCAAGAACACTTCAGAATTTGTAATTGCTTCGTCGTCATCCAAAAGTGCCCAACCTAGTAGATGGTGGAATGATGAGTGCACACGAGATTATAGAAGAAGAAAAGCCGCATGGAAAAGACTTATATGTAATCAGAGTCCAAAAAATTGGAAGGATTATCAGTTCATTGCGGCAACATTTAAACGCACTGTATCGCGAGCGAAAGAGCAATATGACCAAGAACATTTCGAGTACCTGTCTAAATCAAATAACAAACGTGCTTTATTCAACTTCCTTCGTGGTAGGGAGAAGACCCCTATACCAGAAAACGTTGACTCAGTAGTTTACACCTCACAGGAACTACAGGAATCTTTGAATGAGTTGGCTAAAGAATTAGAAAACAGGTTCTCAACGCATCTTTCTAATTCGGCTTACACAACAACCATCTATGACTACACAGAAATATCGACTTCCGAATTAAATCAGGCTATGGAAAGATTGCCAAATGCAGCACCAGGCCCCGATGGAATAACAAATACAATGCTAAAAATACTTCACAGGGAATATCCGAATGATCTGTTAGGTCTCGTCAATTATTCCCTTAGAAGAGCATGGATCCCTTCCGAATGGAAGATTGCGAAAATTATACCATTTCTTAAGAAACAGGGGGCAGGCTATAATTTAGACAACATACGACCGATAGCCTTAACATCTAATGTAGTAAAACTTATTGAAAGGGTACTTCATGGTCGTTTAATTAGGTTTATTAACGAGAAACAACTGTTGAGTTCTTCCCAAATTGGCTTTAGATCTGGATATTCCATATGGCATGCACATGTAGATCTGGAAAGTCGTATTCATATTGCCCGTCACAAAAAGCACTTTGCGGCTTTAGTAACGTTAGACATATGTAAAGCATATGATAGTGTAGAGTATTCTATCTTGACTAATCAGTTATGGAGTCATGGACTTCCACCTTATATAGTAGCATGGGTGACGGAATTTTTAAGTAGAAGAGAATTCTATTGTTATCAAGGCGGTTTCTCTTCCTGTAAGCACAAGCAAACCCGAGGTGTACCTCAGGGGTCAGTACTTTCCCCGGTTTTATTCAACATATTGCTTAGTACCATCCCCGTTCATCCAGAAGTGAAAACCTATGTTTATGCCGATGACATTGCTTTCTTTGCTATGTCACATGACTTCCACTGTCTCTACACTATCTTGCAAACATATCTTAATAAAATAGAACATTGGTTGGATGGATTGAAGTTGAACCTCAATACCAGTAAATGTGCTATTCTCGTTTTTCCAATCAAAGATCCCGTGCACATATCTATTAATTACAAGCTTCAAGATATCCCACAAGTACAATCATTGAAATATCTTGGAGTTATGTATAATGAGCATCTAAATTGGCGCCCTCACATTGAATACATCGCGACAAAAGCAGTACGTGCGAGGGGGGTATTGCGGAGGTTGAGCAATTGCAGATCAGGTATGAGAAGAAAGGCACTTTTGATTGTATATAAAATGTATGTCCGACCTGTGTTGGAGTTTGGCTGCATTCTTTTTTCTGGTGCGCCAGCCTACAAACTTCGGCCGCTCGTTCTGTTGGAAAGAGAGGCTTTACGGCTCTGCTT